CTTTAGCTTAAGTCTATTGTGATAGTAGGTAAATTAATATATATCAGTGAACATCGCGCAAGCCCCGGAAAATGTCGTAACAGTATTTCAAACAAAAAATGAACAGGAAACTTCGCTCAGCATATAATTACGCTACAAAAAAGAGCTGTGTTATTGACCGATCTTTATGTGATAACGGAATAATTGTTACCCGTTTTAACCGTGATTAAAAATGACTGACATCTCTTGATTTTACACTGTCATACAATTTTAAACGGTGTACAAACATATTACGTACATGACGTGTGTTGGCGGTTTTATGATAACAACTATCGGGCTCACTTAATATCGTTGATTAACGCTTAGTTAAGTATTAATTGTCTCTATACCCGTCCATTTCTATTGTAATTTTGTGAACAGGGAGAGGTCAATTTTAAGCGTTTCCTGACGTCGATTTTTATGAGAAAGGCTGTGCCTATAGTCAGATTTAATATAGGTATATGCACTTGAAGTCTGTATTACTCTGATCGGGAATATTTTTTTAAACTATTAATAAAAAATAAGGGTAACAAACAAGCACACAGTCCACCTGATTGTAGCTAGATACTGTGGCCCATAGACATCTACATTTGTCCTCGATTAAGAATCAAAATGCAGATCCAATGCGTATCCAGTAAAAAGGGTATCTGGTTCTTTACACTCACCGTACGAAACAGAGCAGTATTAAACTGCTATTTTACGCTGTTTTTTTTGTGACAGCGTGGCCCTTCCCGGATCGAGCTCAGCGATTTGTGCTACAACCATAATACAGCTGCAAGTGACTCTATCTCTGATCCACGTTTGACGGTGGAATTACACCGCAACGGTGTTATATTTATTTATTACGATAATATTTTGTAACCTAAAAATAACATATTATAGAGTTGTGTTTACGTGCTAGACCCACACTCCAGCTACTTATAGCAGCTATATATAGCTGCAGCACGAATAGGTCGGTTGGACCGGGGTATTCTGAGAAAGCATGGTCCTACCACGCTCTCATACCAGCGTGAAACAGCTGAGTAATGCTGCTGTGTATCGTATGGTGAGTGTACCTTTTTTTACTGGTAACGAAGCATTTCATCTTAGTCCACAAGGGTGACAACCCAAATTCATCGATGATATATGCATATGTCTATGGGTTCCAACATTCACATACCGTCTGTGGGCTATGTGCTTGTTTGTCACCCTTATTCTTTAAAATAAAAGCCCGTTTAGTACTAGTGGGATTCGGGCATGAAGGTTTCTGTACCATCGGAAAACACGTTTCTAGTAGAGAAGTCCTCTTTAATTTTAATTTATTTCTATTTTTATTATTTTTAATTATAGTGGCAACAGAAATACACATTCTGTGAAAATTTCAACTGTTTACGAAGCTAACTACGATTCCTAACAGTTATACACGGTCCGTCATACTGTATGTCACGCTAAGGTCATGTACGATGCACGTTTAAAAAAAACGACAATGAGTAGACTTCACATACGACAACTTCAAGCAATTATTAAAAATTATTGACGCACTTCAAGCTTACTCATTGTCTGTTTTCATTGTGCATTGTGCATAACCTTGGCGGGACGTACAGCAAAATGGACCGTATCTAAGGTGCTTTACTCAATCGCACTGAGGACTGATGTAAACAGCTCTTACAAGTTTAATAATTTTTTTTATACGAAATTAATATCTGTTTCATGGTAGAGCCATACTGTAGCATGTATATTAAGGTTATTTTTTTCTTTTTTTAAACATTACCCACAGAATAGGATTTTCTCCTGTATCATGGTGTCAGTTTACATACATAAATTTTACAAGGGCAGGCATCCAGACCCGGAACAATTATTTGTAAGCCATACAAATAGTTAAGTAATTTTAAAGTTTACGAAAACACTACACATTTAAATAAAACTATTTTTTTTAATGAAAATATACAGATACCTAGCTGTTTACCCGGGCTTCGCTCGCCTGCGCTTGAATTTAGGGACATCATTAAATGCTGTTCCGTGCCAAATCACTTTTAGAGTCACCTTGGTGTCTATGTCTCTATGTCTGTCAAAGATTTTTTTTTTCATTCTAAAATACTATTAGACGTAGATGATTGGTAACATGCTACAGAAACACGTAAATATATATGTCTAGAAACACCTACTATTTTTTATATCGGGCGTGTCTTCCGATTCCGATGTATCCATAAGAAAGGTAAATAGTCTTGAAATCAAAATGTATCTATTATTATTGTTTACATTTTACTCTAAATAAAAAGTTAATTTAGTTTTAACAAAGTAATATAATGTTTATTTGAGACATTTTGTTCATATCATTGGTCCTATTTAATATTTATTGATTTTTACTTCGAGTAGACTTGAAAATTTCATAAATAATAATGAATACCACACATGGAATAAAACTAATGTTACGGGATTTTTTCGCGTCTTGGATGAAAGTTTAGAGTAAAATAACATAATATCGTTGATGTGAAGCACCGAAGCTCCGGGAAGTCTGAAGTATGTCAACATGTTTAGTATCACCCCAACCATTATATCAGGTCTGATAGACAACAAATCCTTGCAATAACCGAAGAAGAACACCGAATCCTACCAATGATGATTTGCGAGGCTATTGAAATTAAAAATATCCTAATTTTAATAGGGCAGATGGCTGAGTGCTACCATCTGCTAAGGACCCCATAATTAATTAAATTAAATTAAAACTACTACTGCATTTATTCTATTCTATTTTAACTAAGACATCAGGTCGTCAAACACCTCAGTTCTCCCGCCCCTCCCGTGAACATGGGTGCTGTAAAGTGCCCAAAACATCGGGAAATTAAAAAGTTAAAATTAGACGCGATAAAATCCTTAAAATTAGCTTTATTTTTTATAAATTTTATACACAGTGAACGTGCGGAACACTACACTCATGAACGGGAATAGAAAAAAGTTCGCACTGTTGTGGCGGTGAAAGAAAATCCACAAACTCATATCGTCCCGTTGTAAGAGGCGACATAGGAAAAAAAAACAGGAGATGAGATGAGCTGCGTCATCTTCTTGATCAAAATAATAACCGCTGCGGTTGCCAACCCGCCTACCAAGCCTGGCAACTATAGCAAATATCCAGCTACTTGACAATTTATGACGGAGGCCTATGTTCATTTCAGTGGACTTTGGATAGGCTGACGATAATGAGTTCTACTTATCTTTGCAAGCCTTCATATTTACGGTAGAGTGAAAACAAAAAGTAACATACCCGAAAACACTAATGAAATAAAAACTGCATATATTGCCCCATGAAAATTAAAAGAAGTGAATGTAAATAATTCAATAATTTACATCGTATATTCAGTAGCATTGTATTATTTAATTTTATCAATGACTTGCCATTTTAGTTTATTTAGAAGTAAGTAGGTGGCGCTAATATTACATGAAATAATGAAAGCCAAAACTATACCATCTAGTAATATCAGCAATAGAAGCGAACATTTATTTATTATATCAGTAAGGGATAAAGTGATGTCAATTCTCTTGAAAGTTCTGTTTCTGTTAAAAAATAAGCTATCAGCGCCGCTAGCGATGAAAAACGATTTAATGATATCGTCTTATGACCATATTATGAAATAGCAAAGTTGTGTTTAGTTAATAATATCTTCAAACAATTTCTATTCTTTGATTTGGTTAAGCTATATCATTACATGGTCAACAAATAGTCTTAAATATCATAAAATGACCACACCATTTCACGAAATGATAGACTATGATATATGATCAATTCTACGATCTGGCCACGACATACATAAAAATCTCTTTAATAAAACTATGATGATAATAAAAATTTTGCAACTATTGCAGACAGACCAGTTTTAATCACTTTTTTATTAATAATTGAAATAAATACCACAATTTTCATATTTTTAATAGACGTCACTATTATCTATTGAAATTATTGCACTTTTAAAATAAAATAACAAAAATACAAAAAACTGAACGTTAGGATTTTTTAATAATTTAAAAAATGTAATAATCTCATCATATAAATCTTATTATTTAGTTATTTATATTATTTCATTTATTAGTTTTTAATTGAATGCAAAATATACTACTTTTTCCATTTGATGATAGATGGCGCTGTTTTGAATACGAAATTCGGTGTAGTTTCAACTTATTTTACCAAGATTATAACTATATTTTAAACTTTATTTACAAATATGGTATTTATTTGAAAAACACCCGTCATCCCGCCTATAACTAAGATATAACAGAAAATTAACATCTAAAGGAAATAAAATACTGAACCTTCCTTTTTGGCAGTTCCGTAATCGGATAAAAAGTTGCCTATAAGTTATCGCGGGTTACTGACAACCTACATACAAAATTTCATGTAAATCGGTTCAGTAGTTTTTGCGTGAATCCGGAATACACAGACAGACAGACAGACAGAAAGACAGACAGACAGACAGACTGACAAAAATTCTAAAATCCACTAATTTGGCTTCAGAACCCTTTATTTAGTCCCCTGGACTTATTTTTCAAGAATATATTAGAATTACAGACATGACTTTTCTACAGATTTATTATATGTATAGATATAGATGGACTTATTTTTTCAAGAATATATTAGAATTACAGACATGACTTTTCTACAGATTTATCATATGTATAGATATAGATGGACTTATTTTTTCAAGAATATATTAGAATTACAGACATGACTTTTCTACAGATTTATTATATGTATAGATTCTATTCGGGATTCGAACCCCTGGCCCTTTGCACTTCAACTCATTACTAAGCCACTGCGGCACGGAGCGGTCGTGGTAAGTAGTAGAACCATGTTGCAGCTATAGTAAGTTTGGTACGAATGGGTCTGATAAGAACTTTTTATACGGGATAATTTTAACCACGGAAAAATGAAAACTTCCGCGGCAAAATAAATCATAAATCCATTTATAAAAAATTGAAATTAATATTATTTTCTTTTTATTTTGTTTTAGGTAGTCTCACCTCTACTGATCTCCACAATTCAGCTTCCATCAACTGTAGCTGATGGAACCGTCTTATCGGCTGTATTAACTCCAATTAGTGGCGAAACATTGCAACGTCAGGAGAGAAGTTATTACGAGAGATATGGAGCAAGAAGACCTTTGTACGATAGACTAGAGTACGACAGATCATCGTCGTGCGGGAGATGCTATGATAGATATGATGACAGAGATGACGACAGAGATGACTACGACAGAGGTCGGGACACTTACGATGACGACAGGCGATCAAGTCATCGACCAACTTCTGGTAACAAACATGACAAGAACGACTATGACGACGACGATAGAAGATATAGCAACGACAGGAAGAATGGACAAAAAAATTCAACAGAGGATGAAAATGACAACGATAAGAGGAGGCCTCACGATGACAAAGACAGACATAGCGGAGGGAGAAGGGGAAACAGGGATAGACATAGATACGATGACAGAGATAGATACAGGCCTGATTATTACGATAGATTCCTAAGGGACCCATATAGAGATAGATACGACAGACCGTACTACGATGATCCGTATAGAGAAAGAAGGCCTTATTACGATAGATATTATCCAAACCCGAATAGATACGACGACGGATACGGAAGTAGATACGATGGATATGAATATACAGGATACAGGAGGCCTTATTACGACGATCGTTATGACAGAGGCAGCACGTATAATGACGCGTATGGAGGCTACGGACCCGGCGTTGGAAGGGGACCACATGACAGGTGAGGTTAAGTTTTATCTAAACACTTTATGGTTGCAGTGTCACTTTGTAATAGCCTTAGTAATTCAAGGGATAAACAGTTAAATTTTATAGTACACAGGCAAGATGAATTCAATCCATGAAGGCACTAATGCAATTGTTATTTGCAACTTTGGTGCTGATTTACCACGTGCTTCGGGAAAGATCGTACTGTTAATAAATTTAAAAAAATATTTTGAGGAAACGAGAACTCCACAAACACGCATTGGGGCAGCGGGGCGGCCTGCTTCTAAGCTTTCTTAAAATTGATAAATTTATTTCCACGTGTGTTAACTGTCGAATATAGAACAAAGCTAAATGCACAGACCAAAATTTGTTGGGTGGGTATCGTAACTTCTTAATAAAGGCCACCACTGAGCTTGGAGTTAACTATTGTTCCAAGAAATACACTAAAATAAATCGATGACTAAAACTCTAAAGCTTCCCAAAGTTTTCAAGGGTTTGATGCTGAATAAAACTCTAACAATCTTAAAGACTACACTTCGCTCACTAACAACGAGTTCGAAATTATCCCACCTGTCTGTCGGATGATGCAGAGAGCACCCACAAATTCCACATGAACTTCGTCCGTGGAAAGCCAAACGAAACGCACAGATAGTCCTTAGTATGAATTTTCAAACAAGTAGGCATAACCAAGCCATCCACCATATAATTATTTACTCAATAGTGCGGCAGCTGATTTGAATCTGATAATCTCCAAACTAGCTAGCCTTTTAGACAAATAGTCCTATGCTCATATTTCAACTAATTTTCAAAAGCATCAATGTTCAACTACAGAATTAATTCAAACAAATTAATCACCGATGCACATAGGTCAAACTGACAAATTAAATAAAACGATAAACGTAAGAGACAGCCCTATTTCTCATTTCAAATAAATATCTTAGACAGTGCCAACAAAATCTGAAAACCAAAAGAGGAATGACTTATTCCTTTCGGCACAAATAGGGTTATCCAATTTCAATTTTCTTTTCCACAAAGCAAACGCAATGATCAAATACATTTACAAAAACAAATGTACAAATATTCAAATAGCGCGTCATTCAATTTCAAATGAATTCAAATTTTTCTTTCAACAGGACAAACACAGTGATCAAATACAATTACAGAAAAATATATACGAGTATTCAAAGAGCACATTAAATTCGCCTTCTTAATCACAACCGCCACAAATATGAAACATTTCGCGGAAGGCACAAACCATTTTTAATTTTGATTTAAAGCATCGTTAATTAAGTGCTCGACCAAAACCAAATCTAACAATCCCTAACAGCGCACTTCAACGCTCCCGTGTAGCCCTAGTCTTCCCAACAAATAAGCAGAGGCCAACCGTGTTGTGAACCCGGAACCAATAAAGCGCGTACCGTTAAACAATCGACGCTCGAGTTGTACACCCTCACTGAGGTCGTAGACAATAGAACAGTTGACAAGTGAGCTGTTGACGGCTCACAGAATTAGTGGAGACGGCCGTGGTGGGAGCTAGGGCGGCAGCTACCTAGCTGGGGCTGCCTGCATCAAAGGGGGAACGGTAGTACCCCAAGCCGCGGCCACTCAGCTGACGAGGGTGAGAAGAGTCTAGCTGACCGCTGAGTGGCAGTGAAGTTCCTCTCAACATACTGAGGGAGGGGGAGACGACCCCCCGCCCCTGGGGGAACAACCCCCCGACAGGGGGCGCAGCTGAGCGCCCCCCCGCCCGTGGGAGTCGAGGGCTCGGGAAAGCCCTGAGAGGAAACGCCGTTCGCACCCAGACACAAAACGGCATGGTGATTGCCCTGGCTGCGCGATGGCATCACTTTCTAAATACAAATTACTCAAACGCGGCTCATATACAATTACAAATTAACAAATAACAAATACAAAAAAATTAACAAGTAACAAATACCGTTCCTATCAAATCAAGTTAAATACAAATTACACAAATACAAATTACTATTTATTAAATTAAATACAAACCACAATACCAATAAAGATACACATCACAGTCGATCTACAAAAAATGCCTCGTTCAGACAACCGATCCATCGACAATTAATCTACTATAATTATATGATTACGTGATAACCTTATCTACCTAGTCAAAGTACCTAGCCTTAACAAAACTACGGTAAGTACCTAACCCGAACAAAACTCCCGCTTGCTCAACCTACGGGCGCGGGTTTCAAATCTACCTAACTATATCAATAAAACAAACTTCAAACATTATTCTGTTATATTCAAAAAAAATTAAAGTTAACTCAAAAGGCACAAAATAATTATAAAATAACAACTTCCGAAAATAGGTCAAAATCGACTTGGCAGATAATTAATCAAACCAAAGGCAATACTCCAAAATATTATATAAATAAAATTAAGGTAAGTAGCCAAGTTATATCGAACCCAGCAAAAATTTGTGATGTATTTAATAACTACTTCGTCGATAAAATTTTGCCAAAACTTCATGCTGAAAGTAAACCAAAAGCAATTAATATAAACACTATATCTAACTTTAATTCTTAGAGCCTAGTACAGCATATGAGGTAAAGGAAATAATAACGTCCCTGAAAAACACATGCAGTGTAGGTTATGATGACATTTGTACAAAAGTAATTAAATATGTGGCTAATGAGATATGTGATCACCCGAGTTACATAATTAATCTTTGCATTTGTGCTGGCATATATCCAGATGCCTTAAAAACCGCTGTAATAAAACCACAATTTAGGAAAAAAGGTAATGAAAAAGTTAATTGAAAATTATAGACCAATTTCACTCGTTCCCATAATTTCAAAAATAATTGAAAAGTACATTTGCAATAAATTATATAATTATGTAGAAAAACATAACATATTGTGTCAGGAACAAAAATGATTTAGGCAGCGTAAAACAATAGATATGTTCACTGCCCTACACTCTTATATAAACTACACGCATATGGCATCAGGGGTAATGTACTTAACCTTATAGGATCTTACGAGTACCTTAACAATAGAATACAAATAACTGTAATTACGAATTTTAATACGGTTAATACATACGAAGAGACATTTCGATCATCGGAACGTAAAGTCTGCTTTGGAGTTCCCCAAGGGAATATACTGGGACCGTTACTATTTATATTCTATATTAATGACCTGCCTAAATACACAGAACAACCATTGACGCTTTTTTGAACACCATAACAATACCTCGTAAAAATACTAATACGTACGAATACGACATAAACAATTCTCTATAAACAATCATAAGATGGCTAAATCACAATAATTTAATAATAAATTTAAGCAAAACAAAGATTATACATTTCAGTCAACGCAAACGCGATAATAATAAACTCATATTACAATATAACAACTAAAATATTGCTTGAAGTCGAAAGCACGAGATTTCTGTGGCTGGAAAGTAATGAAAAATTGAATTGGAAATGGCACATTAGAACTTTTTGTAAAAACAAGTAAGTCTGCATATTTTCTACGCATATTATCATCTATAATTTGTACGGTGGACACCTTACTGCGTATTATGGTACCGTAGAAACATACCTACGAGATGGCGTAATATTTTGGGATAACTACTGCGAAAAAGGAAAGGTATTCACGGCCCAAAAAAGCCGTATACGCTCCATGTTTAGGCTGAGGAGTACCGATAGTAGCAAGCCACATTTTAAACAATATAAATATTAACTGTACCTTGTAAATATGTATTAGAAATGGCTTTGGAAGTCGAACCAGAACCGTTTTAAGTGCCTAGCAGACCGTGCTCCAAGAAACAGACGCGACAATAGTAGAGTTTACATTAGGAGGAGCCGACTATTTACAACAAATTACCCTTCATTATTTAAGACAAGACTATGAAATTTTTTAGCAAATAAAGTGTGTTATGTTAAAATTTGTAAGTTTGTCACATGGATTAATGTGATGTGAAAATAATGTAAGAGAAAACAGAAAAATAATTGATTACGTTAAATGGTGTCGTAAGAGGCAAAAGAGGAAAACAAACTAGGCAGCAGCAGCAGCGTCTACGTGATAACAAGTAAAAAATAAAAAACTGCGGTTGCCAACCCACTCTCCTAGCGTGGCAACTATGGCAAACATCCCCCTTCTTAGCCATATGAAGAAATCTATGCGCTTATGAGGTACTCTATGGGGGACGCTTATATTCAGCAGTAGATTTTAATAGGCCGTAACGGTAACGGTACTGATAATTCCAAATTTAATCCAGCCTTCACTCCAGTGACGTTCTATTTCGCTTTTCAATCATTAATTCAATGGCTTTGCAGTTCAATTACCGCGAAAATTACAAATCCACCGTTATCCTTTAATGATGTCAATGACCAGTTCTAATAATGACACTAGTCAGATAATTCAAAAATCAACGCTTTCGCCTTTAATCCATTCAAAAATGCTCAATGACCATATAATAATAGCAGTGTGGGTAAATCAGAGCAACAATATCAACAAATCTAACAGTTTCGGTGTTGTCATGCTCACTTCCCGCCAATATCGTAGATGTTTTGTTATTTCGTGGCAGATTTTTATGTTTATTTTAAAAGATTTTTTTGAATAGGAGCACAGTCCACCTGATGGTATGTGAATAACGTGGCCTACAGTCCTCGATTTAGACTCAAAATACAGATTCATTGTCACCCTTAAAATTTTCTTTGGTTCTCTCTCACTCATCATACGAAACACAGCAGTACTCTGATTTCTTATTTATATATACGCAATTACTATACATTGATTAAAACTAATTTTATGGATGTTGTCACGTTTAATTTTAAAAGAAATGTATAGTTACAGCGTCCCACTGCTAGACCTTCTCTCAATTCTGAGAGGGTTTTTAGGGCAAGCAAGTGTCCGCCGCGCTACCCCAATGCATATTTTTTTTATAGGATAAGGGTGACAAATGAGCACACAGTCCACCTGATGGTAAGTGGTTGCTGTGGCCCATAGACATCTACATCTATTTTGTATTACGAATCAAAATGTAGATGCGTTGTCACCCGTGAGGACTAAGATGGAATGCCTCGTTTCCTGTAAAAACGTTCTCCGGTTCTCTAGACTCACCATACGAAACACAGCAGCGTTAAGCTGCTATTTTACGGTGGTATTCTGTGAGAGCGTGGTCTTTCCCCGGTTGAGCCGACCCATTCGTGCTACAACCATAATATAGCTGCAGCATGTCTCTACGTATAAAACGTTGGCGGATTTCACATGTCTTTAATTTCTTTTTCAGACATGCAGGTTTCTGTACGATGTTTTCCTTCACCGCCGAGCACGTGGTAAATCGGCACTTACAATTGCAATTAACTATTTCATTGGTGCCGGCCTGGATCGGGTTGCTCTCGTACTGTGAAATATAAAGCGAGCACTAGGCCCCTGAGCTCCCCCTGACGTATAATTTTAAGTAACTAAATTAATGGTGGTTATTTGTACATTTATAATTTTAGTTTTATTCAGAAACAGTACTATAACAGTGCTATTTCACACTGGTATTGTTTTCAAACTAGTCCGGTCGAGCCCATCCGTGCTGAGGTCATAACACGCTGCAATGTGCTTATCTTGTTTTTAGTTAATTTATTTCACTATTAAAAATAATAGGTTATGATCATGTCTTTCTTTTATATCATCTCATGGGGTTTTAAGAAGCGTAAGAGGAACGCTATAACAGCAATGGCTTGTTGATGATAACTACTCAAAATTATAAAAAACTACGGGTGCAAAAGAGGTTCAGCAGTGGACTTCCACAGGCTGTAATTGATTGATGGATGGATGTTTTTATTTTAGATTACGAACACTACAAGAATTTTGTAATGGAAAAAATAATAGTTGTAAAAAAACTAAAAAAAACTACTCGTATTATTTTATGCAAGGACTACAAAAACAAAGTAGACTGCCAGAATGTATCTATGATGCAATGATAGCTTGTCTTTTTCTTGTCTTTGAGAGTTTTTTATTCTTTAAGATTCTACACAATCTGTAAGAAAAAAAAATACGATTACTTAATTTAGTATTAATTATGAATAATTCCATTTGCCACGTAAAGATAAATATGAATTAACCTTGTTGATAATTATTATTTTACGTTCTAATGTTTATTTTAAACAAGATTCATAGTTGTACTTGATTTGCGAAACATTGTTCGTATAATTCCATAATAAGATTTTTGTTTTGAAATATGCATAACATTTTGAAACATCTAAAAAAGTGCACGCCTCATGAAAGTTTCATTGAATTTTGATGAAAAAAAATAAATATAGTGACGATACAAGAAAAAAAAAAACAGAGATGCCTCTTTACGATAAAATGGGTCTCCGGTTCTCTTAACTCACCAAACGAAACACAGAAGCATTCTGCTGCAGCCGTAGTATAACAGTGCAGTTATAAGTTAAAAAGAGCCACGTTAAAAAAATACATTATTGTGGACTGATAGTAAAAGATGACAGAATATAATAGAAAGAAACTAAAATATAAATCGAAAACGAAGTGTAGGGTGGCCCTCCACTAGAGTGGCGACCAGGTAAAACATGCACGAAGTCGATGAATGCAAGCGACGCAGTACCATGCTTTATGGCATTCCTTGAAGGAGGACTATGTTCAGCAGTGGATTTGTGAAGCGCTGTAATGATGATGAAAACATTCATCTAAACGAAAAACTTATTGTATTGTCCGCCTGGTTGCCGTGGTGAAGAAGACGTTATTTGTAAAATGCTAACGCTCTGCTACAAATTTCTGAGAATATTAACTTGCTGGCAGTTTCAGGCCCTGGGACGAGACGTACCGCGGTCAGGCGGGTTGGGACGCAGGAGGCCGCGGGTATTACTTCGCGTCTGGGAGGCCTGAAACTGCACCAAGTCAGTACTGGGGACGTCAAGAATATTCGAGGTGATTTGACTGCCATTCCATCACTGTTATTTTGTTTTTAAATCACGTTCATGTGCTCAGGGTGATTTTTACTTAAAGGCAAAATTACTAATAAATAGAAGCAGTTAAATAATACTCGAAGTGCTTTAATATTGATTCGGTATGATTCAAGTCGTAACCGTGTAGTGGAGGTTTAAGATGATTCACTATCCCATATCATCCCGTGGGTGTTCGTAAGAGGCGACAGAGAGTAATGAAACGGGAGATGGACAGCGGCATCTTTCTGATGATGACAATTCCAAATAATAAAAAAACTGCCTACCCGCCTGCCAAGCGTAGTAACAGTGGACATTTGACAGGCTATAATGATGATGATGATTTTACGAGTAGTTACATTTTAGCGATAGGTTACTTGTAGGACCATGCTGTTCTGAACCATACTCAACTTCTTGACGTATACTCACACACCCTTCTCTTTCTTTCTTTAGCAGCCCGTAACCACAGTTGGACGCACACATGTTTTAATGTGGTATAACCATGCTGCAGCTATACTAGTGGTATAGTTCTAGCACGAATGGGTCGGCTCGACCTGAGAAGGACCACGCTCTCACAGAATACTAGCGTAAAATAGCAGCTGAACGCCGCTGTGTTTCGTATAGTGAGGGTAGAGATCCAGAGATCCTTTTTACTGGAAACGAGGCTTTCCATCTTAATCCTCACGGGTAACTACGCATCTTCATTTTATTTCACAAACGAAGATAGATGCAGATGTCTATGGGCCACAGCAACCACTTACCATTACGTGGACTGTGTGCTCTTTTGTCACCCTTATTCTATATAAAAAAAAAATTCTTGCGTGTATGATTTTAGATGCATATGTGTGCGAGTGTACGTATTTTTGGAGCTTTAAAAGACACTTTAAAAGTACACGGCGCTCCGTCTATTTTGTTTGTTGGTGTGACACGAACAAATATCCACACCCGGAACAATTATTTGTAGGAAATTCAAATAACCACTTTTTCCGAGTTGCAATCGAACTTGCGGATCCCTGTACCGCAACAGCCTCTTTGCACTAGTGCAAAGTTAGTTAACGAGCTGTGTTTTTTATTAACCCTACCACAGACTAAGGAATCGACTCTACCGTCAGTTAATTCTACATCTTAGTCCTCAGGGGTGACAACGCATCTGGCGTTCGCGTTGTCGTGGCGTTGGTCAGTGTAGTGGCGCTGTAAGAATATCCACCATTCCATATCGTCCCGTGAGTGTAGTAAAAGGCAACAAGAGTGAAACAACGTCTCTACGTGGTAGAGCATTCTATTATAGTCCTTATTCAATTATTTTTACTGGAAACGAGGCATTCCATCTTAGGCCTCACGGGCGACAACGCATCTTCATTTTTCTTCTTAATTGGGGAGAAATCAGCATCCACTTACTGGTTGCAGAAAAAGTCGTGGATGCCATCATTAACTAGAATGTCAATTACCAAATTCTCTCAAACCACAGAGGAGTGTCAGTAGAGAGTAATATTGTTCTGTTAGTATCACCAATCTATATGCACCGTTTTCCTATACGCTACTACTACCATTATTTTTTTTTTATAAAACTGAAGTGACAAACAAACTTCCACCTTATGGCAATTGGTACTACAGTCCATGGGTACCTGCAGCAAACTTAAAACAAAGAAGACTAGAAGTGCGTTGTCATCTCTGGGAAATATAAAGATCAAATGACTTAGGCTGTAATAATACTGACTCTCGAATTCATGTGCAACGTTTTCTATGCAATGCGCTAAGTCATAATGAGGGCTAATAACCTTTCGTTCACCAGATGTCGCTAATAGGGACTAAGATGAAGTTTTTTTGTAAGTACCCTATGCCATCTAATTGAGAAGTTGCGTTTTAAATAAAATTTTATCGGTTATTAGAGTATTAAATAGCACAAAACAATGCCTCAGAGGTTTTCACATTTTTTAACTCTTTTTTTATATTTTTTACTTTTAAAATGTCTGTAGTTTGGTTAATTTAAAACCTTAAACACTGGGAAAAAACATAAGCTTGTAATACCAGTTACTAGACTCCACAGAATCAGTAATTCATTTATGGGGCAATGTATACGCTTTTACAACCAAATCCCAGAACAATTTCAAAGTTTGTCAATAAACAAGTTTAAATTTTTATTAAAGAAAAACTGTACAAAAAAGGTTATTATAATATCAAGGAATACATGAATGAAAATAACCCCTGGGAATAAGGTAATCGCCACCATGCTGGTTCTATGAAAATTCATTTAAAATCTGTATAAACAAAATTATTGTTAAGTGAAATATGTTTAAAAAAACGTCCCGCTGGGTTTCTTGCTGGTTCTTCCCAGGACAGAGGTACTTTCAGAACCAGTGGTAAATAAAAAATGACTTTCAATAAGTATTATGTAATAATTAATATTGAATAAAAATCATTCTATTCTATTCATTCTATGGACTTCGATTAGGCATGATCATGACACATTTCCCTCGTTTCTTTCATATTCATATGCCTACATGCTCGTCAGTCAACCGTTACCGTCACAGCCTATTAAAGTCCACTGCTGAACATAAGCTTCCCCTATGGGTTGCCTCATATGGGAGATAATTGCCATAGATGCGACGCTTGGCTCTTCAGTCAAGGGTACTATTAATTTGACCAATTTTCAATATATCGCCAACTAGTTCGATAAACTTCCATCTAGGATGTCTCATGCCTACCCATATTTGCATACATTTTCTTTGTCGCTCTTTTCGCTTACATTGTTTCTACGTGTCCAAACTATAGAAGCATTACTTTCTTAATCCTGGTCACAATATCTTTTTGCAAACCACACTTTTCTCTTATCACATAATTTCTCACCCTATTTATTTATTCTTTATTGCATTCCTTAATCTAAAAGAATACAAAGGGCGGACTTAATGCCTTGTGGCATTCTCTACCAGTCAACCCATAGAGTGGTGAGAATTTGAAGTAGGTTTAGCAATATAGAATAAAAACAAAATAGAAATTTATAATTAATTACGTTATATATACATTTTACTAATATATACGTACATACATAAGCATACATATATTCATACCAACATACATATACAAATAATACATATAAATAACTATAAATATAAACGTCTAAAATATAAATGACATGGATGATTCATCTAAGAAGCGTTGTCTTTAACAGATGATTACGCACCAACTTTTTAAAAGCAAACTTATTAGGAGCTTTTCTGATGTCGTCAGGCAAGGAGTTCCAAAGGCGTGCAGCCTGAACTGTAAAGGAGTTACCATAGAACTCGGTGAAGTGAACTGGAATACATATTTTGTTGTTAGAAGAAGAACGTAGAACCCTATCATGAGATGAGGAGAGATAGTGAAATTTACTCTTAAGATAAGAAGGCGAAAATGGGTCATTTAATATGGAAAAAAGAACAAGTAATATTCTGGAAATACGCCTCTGCCGGATTGTAAGCCAATTAAGCTTAGATCTATATTGCGAAATCCCTATCCTACATATCTCTTATCCAATACCTTTAGTGACCGCATTTCTACAGCATTAATTTTATTCTCATGCTTCTTTTTTTATAGGATAGGGTGACAAACGAGCACACAGTCCACCTGATGATAAGTGGTTACCGTGGCCCATAGACATCTACCGGTTCTCTACACTCACCATACGAAACACAGCAGTGTCAAGCTGCTATTTTGCGCTGGTATTCTGAGAGAGCGTGGTCCTCCCCCGGTAGAGCCGACCCGTTAGTGCTACAACTATACTACTAATATAGCTGCAGCATGGCTCTACCACGTATAAATCTCTGCCACTATTACATAGGTACTAAGCTTTTGTGACTGCCTCATTGGTCTTGAGGTCGTAATTGCGATTGCTGATCATGAGGTCCCGGGTTCGAATCCCGGGTCGGGACAAAATTTGTTATTAGGTTTTCTGTCAAGGAACTCATTAACAGCCCGGAGTCAGGAAGTCGGCGGTGTTTCATTCACCTTCATGGTTCGGAAAGCGCGTTAAGCCGTTGGTCCAGTGCCCGACACTCCGGTCATGTCGTATTCAGTCCCATCGAACTATAAGGGTGAGGGAATAGAGACTCCACCTGTGTTTGCATACACTTGAGCTCTATAATCCTGTCCATCTGAGCAGGACTGGACGGTGAAGACTGACCAAAATTCAATCTATAGGACATCACTAGGTTCTAGTAATAAAAAAGTTTAAATGCTCATTTACAGGCCACAATCAACTGGATGGCAGGGTGTCGGATACTCGAGCGGAAACAGAGATCCAGTAGATTACCGCGGATCTTTTGGCTACGCACAGACGGGTGGGTACCGTACGGACTTAAGTTCGGGATACGGGCAGTCAAGTGGATGGCACAGCGTTGGTGAGAGGAGACCGTATCGAGATCAAAGGTATGCATTTAATAGTGCAAATTTTTTTTGAACGAAGTTTCTTATCGGACGGTACGTATTTGGCAGAAGGGAGCTCGGCGAGAAAAAGTGTAAGATTTTTCCGTCACGACCCCTTCTGACGCAGTGTAGATGGCCTTGGCGGCTATAAGGTAGCGAGATGGAATAATATCCATCTCCCTCGCACTTTTTCTTATCTTGCCATGAAAGAAATATTATTTTATTTTAAATAACGCTTCATTTTAACAGACGCTAGTAATTCATTTATTCGTATTTGTTAATCAATAATATAATACGTTTATTAATAATAATATACTACATATACGAAAGGAACTTCGTTCCAACCGAGTATTCCATGACACTCACGCATGTTTTTTTTTTAACTTAAAGTAAAACTATATAAAAAGTATAGTTACAGCCTGTATAAGTCCCACAGCTGGGAAAAGGTTACGGGCCATCTCTTATTTCTAAGAGAATTATGAAACAATAAGTCCGCCGCGTTGATTCAATGTACGTGGTAGAGCCACGCCGGAGCTATATTATAGTTGTAGCACGAATGGGTTGGCTGAACCGGGGTAGGACCACGCTCTCACAGAATACCAGAGTAAAATAGCAGCTCAATACTGCTGTGTTTCGTATGGTGAGTGTAGAAAACCGTAGATCCTTTTTACTGGAAACGAGGCATTCCATCTTAGTCCTCAAGGTTGATAACGTATATGTATTTTGATTCTCAATTGAGGATAAATGTAGATGTCTATGGGCCACAGCATTCACAAACCATCAGATGGACTGTGTGCTTGTTTGTCACGCTAATTATTTTAAAAAACCAGGATAGTGACAGCAGCGTCTTTCTAGCCTAGTATGCTTTTGACGTGGTAGAGCCAGGCTGCAGTTACATATGGCTGCGACCCGGATGAGTCGGCTTGACCTGGATAGGACTGGCAACTATGGCAAATATCCTTGATATGAGGCAACCAATAAGAGAGACCTGTGAATAAGTGAACTTTTGATAGATTATTACGTTAAGAGTTACTCTGTTCTATTAATTTTTTTCATACGTGGTAGAGCCATACTGTAGCTATATTTATGATATAATTGTAACACGAATGGGTCGGCTCGACCGGGGAAGGACCACGCTCTCACAGGATACCAGCGTAAAGTAGCAGCTTAACGCTGCTGTGTTTCGTATGGTGAGTCTAGAGAACCGGAGAACGTTTTTACAGGAAACGAGGCATTCCATCTTAGTCCTCAGGGGTGACAACCCATCTACATTTTGATACGTAATCGAGGATAGATGTAGATGTCTATGGGCCGCCGCATTCACAAACCATCAGGTGGACTGTGTGCTCGTTTGCCACCCTAATTCTATAAAAAAAAAATACAGTATATAATTAATACTGTCAATCATATCATCACACATCAGAGTTGTATCGATTGGCAAGTGGTGCTCTAATATTATAGCAGGGTATATTCACTCCTTTTTCGTATTGTCTTTCTTCTTTGTTCTTTGTTAAAAGTTCACTTTTAGACATGGGGCTCTCCCATTATAGGGAGAGTTGCACCTTTGACGCTGATGGCCGCTGTCGGTCTGGGTATTTTAAATCTGACGTAAACGAGATGGTAAAGATGTTCAAAAATAATTAACTAAGATACGCGTAATAAATACGCGTAATTTCATTACTCGGAATTTAGCTAATTAATTTATAATATCTTTAATTAAAATAGATTACCGCAAATATGGTAAACGCCATCTATCGGAGCTTGTGCTTAATATTTAATTATTATTGCACAAAACGTATATTGCGGACTTAATGCCTTCAGGCGTTCTCTATCAGTCAAATTAAAATTAAGCCGAAGAATTTTGTAAATGTGCAACTAGAACTATGGCAGGAAGTATAAATCCACAAAATAAACCTATATTTTTGGATGTTTAAAGTTAGAACCTATGTACCTACGTCCCATTGATGGCCACAGTCATTTGTTTGTAAATAAGTAACTACATTGATTAATATATTTTTTAAAGCAAACATTCTATATTTATTAACGTAACCAATTGCAGGAAAAGCAATAAAACATATAAAACAAGAATTAAACGTAAGGAGAAACGAGCGAAATGATAGTAATTGATTGTCTGAAGGAAACTACATACATTTAAGTCAAGTATAATAACTTTTAAATACAGATTCTTTTTAAAGTTTAGGTTTTCTTATTAAAAAAATACTATATACATGTTACACTGAAGATGTGTGAAACACCCAGAAATGTTACAATTTTGTTCTGGACCGATAATTCAATAGAAGCCAAGTGGGTAATATTACTAACATCGCATAAACTAGAGAGAGACAATTTTAGGTTTAAAGAATTTATTTCTAATAAGAAACAAAGTTTCGCTTACAATAAGTGTATCACGCACAGTAAATTACATATAAAAATTTTTTTAAGACAATTTTGTTTAACTTAGACTTATTATTGTATTAATTTGTGTGTTTAAAATTGTAGAATCTAGGGTGCTTCACACGTTTTCACTATTCAAATAAGTCCGTATTTTTTAACTTCTGTCTCCCTGGTACAGAATCGTCGCCTCACGCCTCTCGGCACTAAGCTTAGATCCGCTATTGCAATAGCTTGTGCAAACCGCCTGTTCAGAGTTGCTTTTTATGCCTTTTAATTATATATACTTAGTCAGGTCATAAGTTCTGTCAAAAACTTTTTATAAAATTAATGATACACTTTTTGATAATTATATAGAAATTATATATGAAATGAAAGGTAATTTAATTTCAAATACAATTTTATTTAAGTTATTCAAAATGCCCTTCCCTATTTTGAATACATGCCCTTAATCGACACGGCCAATCATCAATCGCATAACGAACCACATTCATATCTATTTCTGCCGCTGCTTTAGCCAAAGATGCTCGGAGAGATTCCAAATTCTGATGATGTTTAGCGCAGACTTTTTCCTCCAAATGTTGCCATATCTTGTAATCCAGTGGGTTTAAATCTGGACTATAAGAGGGCAGTCTTCGTGTCCGATAAAGTCAATTCCATGGGCGGTCAACCAGTTTTGCGTACTTCGTGCCCTATGCTGCTGGTGCAGAGTCCTATTGGAATATCCAATGTCTGATTTTGAACATTGTTTGTGAAAGAGGTTCCAGTATGTTTGTTAGAACGGTATTTTGATATATCTCGGCACTGGTTTTTCCACCTTTTTCACATAAAAACACCTCAGTTAAGACTGAATATTATGAGATTCCAAGCCAAAATAAGATAATGTCCTCGTTGAACCCTCGGAAAACGCGTGCTGGCTTCTTCACTGCTGTAGGCATACACCTTATCATTTTGTTTATTATAACTTTCTTCGATGTTAAAATTTTTTTCATCCAAAAACAAAATTTCGCGATATTTTCTACCGCGTACCGCCGTAACAAAGCGCGGGATCTATCCAGTCTAATTTTTTTCAAACGCTCGTTCAAAAACTGTCCGGTCTTCTTACAATAAGCTCCTAGTCCTAGGTCTTCATTGATCACTCTTTTGACCGTGGTTCTGTTTAGGCCCATCTGAAGAGCTAAGATTTTTGTTTACGAACAGGATTTCGTTGGATTCGCGCCTTCACTGCATTGATGATCGCGGGTGTCCTAACTGTACGAGGTCGGCCGGTTCTCTTACGATCTTCGAAGCTTGAATCTTCAGTGAATCGTCTGATCGTGCGATAAACAAATCGTAGGGTTATTTTCAATTTTTGTAGAATATTGAAAATCTCTTTCGGCGCGTAACCACAGCGGTTCAACGCGATAACCGCTACTCTATCTTCTTTCTTCGACCACTCCATATTTGAAAATTAATGAAAATTAATGTCTTTTTTTATTTTCGGCAAGCGCCAACGTTATATTTTCAAATTTGGTTAATTTCATCGACCCAGTATTCAAAAAAATTAATTAATAAGGTTTTGACAGAACTTATGACCCGACTTACTAAATTGGTAACTATACTACCTCATATTAGCCATTAGGCGGATTAATAACCTGTATTTAAAACACGTTTAGCCCGTTTTTAAAGCTTAAAAATGGCTCTCCTCAATGATATGATTATCTGAGTACTGAGTGGTGGGTACTAGATAGGGTGACAAACAAGCACACAGTCCACCTGATGGTAAATGGCTGCTGCGGCCCATAGACATTTACATCTATCCTCGTTTGCGAATCAAAAAGTAGATGCGTTATCACCCGTGAGGACTAAGATGGAATGCCTCTTATCCAGTAAAAAGGGTCTCCGATTCTCTACACTCACCATACGAAAACCAGCAGCGTTAAGCTGCTATTTTACGCTGGTATTTTGTGAGAGCGTTTTCCTTCCCCGGTCGAGCCGACCCATTCGTGCTACAACTTTACTACTAATATAGCTACAGCATGGCTCTACCACGGTTCGAATCAATCAAACAAACATAACAGTTTGGAGTCAATAATGGTACTTTGTACATGATTGTTTTTTATTATTAGCATCCTTAAAGTTTGCAATCAATCTTTACGATTCATATAGAAAGGAAAAGAGCAGATGTGAATAATTGAATAGATACTAAAAAACGAATTTGTCTTTGTTTTCAGTGGTGTTCCTCAGCTTGATAACAATGAGAGTGATGGAAATCGATATGGCCAAGGCTTTGGTCGTCAACCAGGTTACAGTCAACAGAACAATTATCCAGCCGGTGCAAATAATTACGGCTCGAGCAGCACCACCAGCTATTTGTACGAGCGCGAGGACAACCAAGTGACAGCTACACCAGCTAACGATACAAATCAGGCGCCATCTTAGATATCATTTGACTTGAATTTATTTTTTATAATATACTCAAAATGCGGAGCATATTTTTTGTATATATACGTTTAATTGCAAATTAATTTTATATATTAATAATACATATCATTATATCAACATTTTTAAAATTAAGTATCGTTCACCACATTGTTTTGGATGACAAACCATTGGCCTGCTGTCCATTATAAAGATGCCATCTTAGACATTATTTTTAAACATGTTTTTTATTTTGTACAAATTTCAAACATCCGTCCATTATGTGTTACTTTTTGTATTTTAACATTAAAAAAAAACGAATAAACTGATTTTGTAAACTAAATCCTGTCCAAGTCTATTTATGGATTTTTATGGAATGTTTTATAGATAGAACATATTTAATTTTCTCTAGTAACTAGGTATTCCAAAAATAAAAATCACCAAGAACATAAATTGGAAAGGGGGGCTTCCAGAAACGTTGTATATTCCTGTAGATCCTATGATTTAAGCAACTGCTATGGTGCTTGGTGCGCGTTCAATTGTTTTCAGCGAAACTTTTATCCGCAAATCCGACAAATCTGAACGTCGTTTGTACAAAACTTGGCTCCCTTTTTACATTAATTTTCTTTGGTGGAAAATTAATAAAGTAAAAAAAGTTATATCCTTTAATTAATATTAATAAATACATGATTGAGACTATTGTTCTTGCGTTTACAGTTTCAGAAACTGTAGTTATTTCATTCAGCATTTATAAGTAAATATTACAGTTATATACCTACTTATCTAAGATAGATTATATGATAATAAAATCATAAATACTCTAATTTAGTTTTATTTTTATCTGACCGAGGAAATGTCGCTTTATTGTTTTACACAGATTTTTCCTATTATGAATTTGTGTTACTCCGGTCCTCTAAAAGCATGTTAGTAGCTATAATGGCTAATTACTATAATTTCAAATTAAAAATGTTGTGCTGCCGACTTCAATATAAGTTATTAAGAATAACTCAAAAAATATTGGTCTGACCTTGATCAAATTCATATGGGACCACACAATAAGTACCAGCTTTCAAAAAAAAAAAAGAATCATCGAAATCGCTTCACCCAGTAAAAAGTTATTAGGTAACACACATAAAAAAAACATACAGTCGAATTTAGTACCGTCTCCTTTTTGGAAGTCGGCAGAAAATTAGATGTAAACGTTAATATTTAATGATTTCTTATTATATAAGCGAACACTGCACAATAAATAAAACTAATTTTTGGCATTTTATCGCGTTTAACGTCGGAATTACAAAGTTAAAATCAAACGCGATAAAATCCGTAAAATTAGTTTCATTTAGCGATAATATTTAATTCAAAATGTTTACTTATTATAAAATGTATGCAGCAACATTCTTCTTTTTCTTGTTCTTATCTTATTAAAAAATACTATATACACAGACATTAAGGAAATACGGATGTAATGTTACACTGAAGACGTGTGAAACACCCAGAAATGTTACAATTTTGTTCTGGACCGATAATTCTATAGAAGCCAAGTGGCTAATATTACTAACATCGCATAAACTAGAGAGACAATTTTAGGTTTAAAGAATTTATTTCTCATAAGAAACAAAGTTTCACTTACAATAAGTGTATCTCGCACAGTAAATTACATATAAAAAAAAATTAAGACACTTTTGTTTAACTTAAACTTATTATTGTATTAATTTGTGTGTTTAAAATTGTAGGACCTAGGGTGCTTCACACGTTTTCAGGATTCAAATAAGTTCGTATTTTTTAACTTCTGTCTCCCTGGTACAGAATCGTCGCCTCACGCCTCTCGGTACTAAGCTTAGATCCGCTATTGCAATAGCTTGTGCAAGCGCCTGCTCAGAGTTGCCTTTTATGCCTTTTAATTAATTATACTTAGTCAGGTCATAAGTTCTGTCAAAAACTTTTAATAAAATTAATAATACACTTTTTGATAATTATATAGAAATTATAAATGAAATGTAAGGTAATTTAATTTAGAATACAATTTTATTTACATTATTCAAAACGCCCTCCCCTATTTTGAATACATGCCCTTAATCGATGCCAACCATCAATCGCAGCACGCACCACATTCATATCTATTTCTGCCGCTGCTTTAGCAAAAGATGCTCTGAGAGCATCCAAATTCTGATGACGTTTAAAATGTTTCAAATGTTGCTATATTTTGTAATCCAGTGAGTTTAAATCTGGACTAGAAGAGGGCCAGTCTTCATGTCCGATAAAGTAAATTCCACGGGCGGTCAACCAGTTTTGCGTGCTTCGTGCCCTATGAGCTGGTGCTGAGTCCTGTTAGAATATCCAATGTCTGTTTTTGAGCATTGTTTGAGAAAAAGATTCAACTATGTTTGTTAGGACGGTATTTTGGTACTCCTCGGCACTGGTTTTTACACCTTTTTCACAGAAAAACACCTCAGTTAAGACTGAATATGAGACTCCAAGCCAAACCATGAGTGACGAAGGGTTCCCGTTGAACCCTCGGAATACGCGTGCTGGTTTTTTCATTAATAAAATAAATGTCCGGTCTTCTTACGATAAGCTCGTAGTGCTAGGTCTTCATTGATCACTCTTTTGACCGTGGTTCTGCTGCATACCATCTAAAGAGCTAAGATTTTTTTTTACGAACAGGATTTCGTTGGATTCGCGCTTTCACTGCATTGATGATCGCGGGTGTCCTAACTGTACGAGGTCGGCCGGTCCTCTTACGATTTTCGAAGCTTGAATCTTCAGTAAATCGTTTGATACTGCGATAAACAAATCGTAGGGTTATTTTCAATTTTTATAGAATATTGAAAATCTCTTTTGGCGCGTAACTACAGCGATGCAACGCGATAACCGCTACTCTATCGTCTTTCTTCGACCACTCCATATTTGAAAATGAATGTCTTTTTATTTTCGGCAAGCGCAAACGTTATATTTTTAAAATTGGTGAAGTTCATCTAGCCAGTATTCAAAAATTTTAAATAATAAGGTTTTGACAGAACTTATGACCCGACTAAGTATATACATGTGGTAGAGCCACGCTGCAGCTATATTATGGTTGTAAGTTGTAACACGAATGTGTCGTCTCGTCAGAGGTAGGACCACGCTCTCACAGAATATCAGCGTAAAATAGCAGCTTAATGCTGCTGTGTTTCTTATGGTGAGTGTATAGAACCGGAGACCCTTTTTACTGGAAACGAGGCATTTCATCTTAGTTGTCGGGGGTAACAACGCATATGCATTTTTATTTTTAATCGAGCATAAATGTAGATGTCTATAGACTACAGCATCCACCTACCATCAGGTGAACTGTGTGCTCGTTTGTCACCCATATTCTATAATAAAATACATAATTTTAATACTGAATACGACCACCAATGTGTGGGATTTTAGATCGGAAATTTTATATGGCTTTTTCGTCGTCGTCGTTGTCGTCGTCGTCGTTGTTGTCGTTGCTATGATTTCTTAATGATTTCTTCTATTTACGCGAACACTTCACATTTAAATAAAACTCGTTTTTACGGATTTAATCGCACCCATAGTCACGGCTGGGCTTTTTTTCTTTTTGTTTTCGATGTTCCAATGTCAAAGTTAACCACGGCTACCTTCAGATATCGGAATGCAGCCGTGGTTAAGCTGTAAAAACTAGTTTTATTTAAATGTCGTCGTCGTTATTCGGTTGCAATGCCTCGACTGTCAGTAAGAAGGGTGTGCGCGTGTAAGTTTTCAAATATGTATATAATAATCTATGATGTAAGGTTAACACTCGGCTCGGTGAAAAGGTACTATTCTAATCTTACGTAATTAGTCCATCTAGCGAGTGATTTTGGTACTACAAGAAACATCATTGAAGAATAGAGGCAAAAGATGACGCTAGAGTCATTCTATTTTACATCAATATAGTAATAAACACAGAATATTTAATTTACCTACTAGCATAGACGTATAAAATCACGCCTACTAGATATTTATACATATAAAAGTGCCTTTTTCAAATAGCATTATTTTTTGTATTCTATGCCAAATGCAGATAAACGGAAAACGGGAAACACCTTGGCGATTATGGGCGATTGCCTCTTTAATTTAACAAAATTTCGATTAAATCATTACAATATAATAAATAAGTAGCATATATTTAATTCATATAATTAAAGTTACATATATATAAGGATATATAGTTAACGTAACAACAACATGTGATGATGTGTGTTTATATTATATAATTGTGTATTGTGTATTATTGTGTCAAATATTAGTAGTACATAAGGTGGTTCATTGTTTTGTAAAAGAGCGCCTCTCGCTATCAAACGTAAAAGTTTGGCGAGTTTAGAATTAAGTAACATCACTGTATCATAAATTAATTAATAAATAAATAAAAAAAAAAGATTACTGTAAGTCAAGTCAAGTAGAACCAATACAGAAAATTCGAATTTATGATTAAAAAAGTAGTTAGATGTTAGATGTAAAGGGGTAAAGTAGAATAAAAGGACTTTAGGATATTTATTACGCGTATCTTAGTTAATTGGCGTATCTTAGCCGTGTAGTGGCGGTAAAGAATATCCACTACCCCATATCTTCCCGTGGGTGTCGTAAAAGGCGACAAAGCGAAACAGGCAGGAGACGGGCAGCAGCATCTTCCTGATAGTAGCCAAAATTACAATAAAAAACTGTGGTTGCCAACCCGCTCGCCAAGCGTGGCAACTATGGCAAATATCCCCCTATGAAGAGAGTAACAAGGAGACGGCCCCCAGTCCGCGGCGGCCCCGCTATTCCTGGCTACGGTGGTGACCATGGTAACGGCGGGATAGGGGGTGCTAAGAATCTCCGGTGGAGGTTCGGTTGCCACCTTAGACGACTCGACCTGGCAACGTACAGCGCACGCACCCTGAGGACTGACGAGAAGATCGTGGAGCTAGAAGAAGAGATAGACAAGTTACGCTGGCATATTATAGGATTATCCGAAGTCCGAAGAGAGGGTGAGGACACGGTAATCCTCGAATCCGGCAACTTGCTCTATCACCGGGAGGGCGACCATCTGTCCCAAGGAGGTGTCGGATTTATCGTCCACAAGTCTCTCGTTAAGAACGTTGTAAAGATCGGGAGTGTGTCGACGAGGGTTGCGTACCTTATACTCAGAATCACCAAACGGTATTCGGTGAAGGTCATACAGGTTTACGCACAAACCTCGGCACACCCTGATGAGGAGGTGGAGGAAATGTATGAGGATATCTCTAGAGCCATGCATTCCTCCAAAACCCAATATACGGTGTTAATGGAAGACTTCAACGCAAAACTAGGCACAAGAGAGAACGGTGAGCTGAAAGTAGGGAAATTTGGAATAGGGCAACGGAATCCAAGGGGCCGGCAGCTGGCCGACTTCATGGAGAAAGAGGGACTTTTATTATGAACTCTTTCTTCCAGAAGCGGCCCCACAGGAAGTGGACCTGGTCGAGCCCTGACGGTTCGACAAAAAATGAGATTGACTTCATTATGACGACCAAACAACAACTGTTCAGTGATGTCTCCGTGATCGCGAGGGTGAAAACTGGTAGCGATCACCGAATGGTGAGATGCACACTGAACCTAAACGTTAAGTTGGAGAGGTCTCGTCTAATGAAGTCAACGCTCCGTCCCCCTCGTGTTCTGTTCCAAAATCCTGAAACCTTTCAGCTCGAGTTACAAAACCGTTTTCAGTGCCTAGAAGACTGCAATGAAGTGGACGATATGAATGACAAGCTCGTGGAAACTGTCCATGCGGTCGGAGCTAAGTTCTGCAAGATCCGCCGCAGAAGAACACAAAAAC